TACTCCAGTTTTTTGTATGAACAAGAATTCTGAAAATTTACAGTAACTGTTTTTTAGAAGGTAATCTAATAGATAAACTATATCTGCGATTGTGTAATAGTTGTAATTTCCGTAAGTTGCTTTGTCAGTATAGAAAATCCTTTTACCATTGTGTGCAATATATTTTTTGTTGCTATTTTTATACCATATTTTTAGTATTTCTTTAACATTGTTAATATGTAAGAATGTGGTAGATTAGTAAACATGTTGGTGAAGTCTGCTGAAAAAAGTTTCATATTTTCCATGTGTAGATTTTGCAGTTGTTCGCTGATATTGATATTATTAATAGCCCAATAACCTATGAACTGAGTATTTCTATTCATTATTATATTCATATTATTCTATATTATTAGTATATTAGTATATTCATCAAGCAAAAATGAAATACAACGAAAAAACACGGGGTGGCTGTATCATTTGGAGACGTTGGAAAAGCGACCCTTTCTGGAAAAATTAGAATAAAATTTTTTCGCATTTTCAACCTGGAATTTTGTGTTGATTTTCGAATTCGCGACCAAATTTGACACAGTTTTCCTGTTGGACATTTTTCCAGAAACTTTGTGGAATTCGAGATTTTGAACAATTTCTAGGTGGCTGTATAATTAGGATTGAATTTTCCAAAAGTTTCGAACTTGGAAATTTGTGTAATTTTATTGTAGTCAATATAAACCACTGGATCACTTAACAGTCACTTTTGAGCGAAGTTAGGAATAGGCAATATTCCAGAGACGAGAAGGTAGTAGGACCGCGGGACCGAAGTAATTTATGGTCACCCCTCGCTTCAAATGGGACCACCACCAATCTCACCATTTTTATGTGTTGGTTCCCAATCCAACACATAAAAATGGTCCCTTTGACACGTGGCTCACATTAGACGGTATTTCGAGATCAGGATGGGGTATTGATAATTGTTCACTTAGACAAGCACCAACCTTTTCGTACTTATCTTTGAGGCAAAGCGCAGAGAATCGATTGACCGTGATGAGCATATTTCCAAACATATGTGCAACAAAGGATGAAGTGGCGAGTATACCACACAAATAGGAACAAAGGTCTGAATTCTGGACCCAAAAAATTGGCTTGACTGTTTATACGAAAGAGACAGCAGACTATAATGGAAGTCACGTCAGCGATTCCTGGAAGGAAAACGAACCACATTAATTGAGCTCCCAAAAACTCTTTCTCCAGCATTTCGTGCATTTGCATCAAAAGTTGGAAATCAACTTTTTTGATTTTGACACAACAGAATGATTGTAATGTCCAGAGGGCTGATGAGCGTCACTTTGACAAACCTCAGACAAAAAAGTAACTACATTTATTAAGTTGGAAACACTTTTTCAGCGACTGCACGCTCTTCAGCATTTGAGTGAACTTATGAAACATTTGTAGGAATCTACTCTTTTTTTATTGTAATAGTGGCTCCAATCTCTTTTCGGAAAAAAGAATCGGAAATCAAGTAAACATCCCAGTTTTGAGGAATGAATCTATTTGACACAGCTATGTATGAATGGCAAAACCTAAAATATTGAGGCAGCTTTTGAAATCATTTGGGTTTCCATGCGTAACTAAGAAAACGCCTCACGTTTCCAGCAGGCACTCAAAGGCGCAGAGGGATTTTCTCACGGTTAGCCTGCGTGATAAAACCTTGACCCTTCAAAGATGTGTATTTTGTTGTAACGATGATGACAATAGTCAAGAAGAGATGACGCACCCTTTCCAAACGGCCGCTTGCTTGTTTAAACGCTCTCCAGAAAGATACCAGAGTTGTTTGAATAAGTGTTAGAGTACTGAAGCAATTTGCTCAATAGGTGAAAATGCAGGTCAGGGTGAGCCACTCCTTGTCATCTTATCCTTGCTCTTACCAGGAAGGTCTTTCAGGGCGTGCCAAGCTTTTTGAAAACGGTCTTTTGCATGATATAGGGGCACATGCGGGAACCACAGAACCATGGTTCAATTTTTCCTGAACGGCCCTCTGAATACCAGAAAAGGGGTCCCTAGTTCGATTCCTCGTGGTGACAAATTTTTGCATTTCGAGTTGACGTTCCAAAATTCGCGCAAAATGGAGTTAGCATAATTAGTACCATATTCATGATTAGGACCGTCAGTAACCCTTACAAATAGACTTTGATTAAAAAACTGGTGAAAAAGGTGTGACACCACAGTGGGGCTGCTTGGTGTCACACCTCTTACACCAATTTTTAAGTCAAAGTCTTTTTGTAAGGGTTACTGACGGTCCTAATCATGAATATGGTACTAATTATTCATGCTAACTCCATTTTGCGCGAATTTTGGAACGTCAACTCGAAATGCAAAAATTTGTCACCACGAGGAATCGAACTAGGGACCCCCTTTTCTGGTATTCAGAGGGCCGTTCAGGAAAAATGAACCATGGTTCTGTGGTTCCCGCATGTGCCCCTATATCATGCAAAAGACCGTTTTCAAAAAGCTTGGCACGCCCTGAAAGACCTTCCTGGTTAGAGGTCACCCCTTTGGCTCTCTAACGCAACGGATAAAATAATATGTGAACGAGTCATTCGAAGTGCACTTATAATGTTAGGGAGCGGTATATGTCGCACATCCACACATTCTGCCTACATTCCATCCATTTTCTGAGTGTTACAGCCTTGAGCTCCTTCACCTTCAGTAGTACATAATCAAACATCGCTAGGTTCTCACGGTTCGACCGTTTCCTTGGACCACTGCAGATCAGATTGTGGAAGCACCCAGGCTTACTATCACACTACACCGGTGCTTATCAGATTTTGTCTTACAATACCGCTCACAGAATGTGAAAAAATGACGGTGATTGACAGTCGCACCTATCAAAGACCGTCGCACTACCATAACTCCGCTGAAAGCGAATGAAACGGAAAAATTTAAACTCCTATAGATACGTCTCCTCACAACGAGTTCCAGGATGTGTTATGGGTCGGGATCAGTTAAGTAGGTCACCAGCTTTACCTTTAAGCTGGGGCAAAATCCAATTCTGACTTCAGTGTAGAACACCATTCGTTAGATCCCATGTATATGTGCACGGTATTCTACCGCTCGCACATTCCTCCTTTTTTGATGCATTTTTATCCATGTT